GAGAGAGGAAGATGGAGGGAGGGAGACAGAAACATCAATGATGAGTGAGCCATTGATTGATCAGCTGCCTCCTGCACGCCCACTGGGGATCAAGCCCGAAACCCAGGCATGTGCCCTGACCGGGAATTGAACTGAGATCTCCTGGATCCTAGGTTCATGCTCAACTGCTGAGCCACACCCAGCTGGGCTGTCATCACTTCTTGACTCAACTACTGTAATTAAACTCCACGGTATTCCCACCTCCAGGTTTCCACTACACCAGACTTCTATGAAAGATTAATATCCACAAAGGGGGGTTCTTTTCAACTAAGAATCATGTACAAAATCCTTAGCCTGGCATTTAAGGACTTCCATGATCTGTATCCAAGTATCCTTACCAGCCTGTTCCTTAAACATACAACTCTGGGAAATGTTCTCTGCTTTCCTACCTCAGTACCTTTGTTTGGGCAGTGTCCTTATGTGGAACCAGCTTTCTTCTCCCAGCCTCCTCCAACAGCTAACAATATTCTGAATGGTCACATCCTCAAAGAAAGGAAAATGGCAGATGCAGGCATATCATTTATTAAACACATATTCTGTCTAGTGCCTTACAAATTATACTAATCCCCACAAAAACATAATAGCTTACTAACTACATTTTCTGAGAAAGGAGTTAAAGAAACTGAGGGCCAAAAGATTCTACCCAAAGTCATCCAAACCAGCAAGTAAAGAATCCAAAATAACCCCATAGAGTTCTTTTTTTTTTTTTTTAATATATCTTTATTGATTTCAGAGAGAGGAGAGGAGAGGGAGAGAGAGAGATAGAAACATCAATGATGAGAGAGTCATTGATCGGCTGCAGCCCGCAACCCGGGCATGTGCCCTGACCGGGAATCGAAGCCTGAATCACCTGGATCCTAGGTCGATGCTTAACCACTGAGCCACGCCCAGCCGGGCTACAGTTCTTTTTTAATAAAAACATGACACAAGATGGAAGGATTTAGTCAGAATGCCTACATGCAAATTCCAGCAACTCCACTAACAATCTGTGTGAACTCAGCAAGATAGGTATTTGTGATGCCTTCCTTCCCCATCTATAAAAAGGAGATAATGGTACTATCTACCACACTGACAACAATGAGAATTACATGAGATAATATAAAGTGCTTAGAATTTTATTTGGCCCATAGTAAACAATCAATGTTAGCTATTATTACTGTTGTTGCTATTTATAAGCTATATGTAAACTCTTACTATACCAATTTTATGTTCTGTTTCCAAATCAAATTTTGCGTAATGTAAAAGCTTAATACTGTATTTATATAAGCTCTATAAATACTTGCAGAATACATGAATGTTTAAACTGATTAACCACCATGCTGTATTAAACGAAAGACACTTGTCTATTAACTCTTTCCTCTTTTGAGAAAACTAACAATGCTTACTAACTTTCTTCCATTTTTGTCATGTGAAACTACCATATGCAATGCCATATGGTAGTAATATGTCAAATGGTACGAAACACTATTTTGATTCAAACTCATCTTGCCTTCTGCTAAACATTAATTTCCAGATTTTAAAATATCCAAAATCATACTTTTTATTTAAACACCAACTGTTTTTAGGTCATACCAACATGAAGTAAGCATACCATGAAATTTGACCAAGCCATTTCATTTCATACATTTTTATGGCAATAACTATAAAACATAAAATGCCTTCCTTCCAATTTAACTCAAAGATACAAATCTATCACACCCAGTCCTACCCTTACTTGCTAAAATTAGTGCCTGAAAAACTTGTAATATATCTATGTTATTCTGAGCTGCGGGAAAATACCAAAGGAAGGGTGCCAAATGCTAGTAACAAAATGCTTGAGAGAAATGAGCTTTAAAAAAGGATAGATGAGAATTTACTCCAAACCCTTCAAGTACTAAAACTGCACACCAAGATTCTGTCCACATGATTTACTATTACATATGGTAGGCTTCAAACAAAGGCACAAGTAAAAAATATATTAATAAAACAGTTGTCATTTCTGACACAAAAATAACTGGGCTCTATCCAACTGTTTTAAAAAACATTGAGGCTTAACTACGTGACATTTTATTTCAATTAATTCTTATAATTCTTCCCTATTTACAGATACTATCGCAGAATTAGTAAATAGCAGAGCTGAAGGCTGAACCCCACCTGACCCCCAAGTTAAGGATCCAGCATTTTGACATAATCCACAATATGATATACATTAACATCTTCTTCTTCATACACACGTATTTAAAAACCAACAAAAGCTTCATGAAAAAAATATCTACTCTTACGCCATAGGACGTCCTCTGGTATTTCTCTCTCCTCTCTTTCTAACGTTAATGTCAATGCACTAAATTGATTCCAAAATCCATTAATAACTTCCCATGTCCCTGCACTACACTTCTTACCTCCTGTTTAAAGCTTTTTTCCCCCTACCACAGCCCAGTTTTGTTACTTTATAGTGGAGCTCATCTCCTCGACCCATTAAAAATTGTCCTTAAATAGATTAAAAGCTTCCATCTTGAGTTGATCTGTTTCTCTACTCTTTAGCGGCACACCCATCTGACTTATATTGTATCAAAACTGCAGATGTTCTCCTTGGAAAACAACAGATCATTGTTGAAGGAAATGCCTCCGTGTTCACTGTTCCTGCTGCATCACTGACAAATAACAGGGGGGCAGGTTTGGGGACACTGGAGGACCTGCGTGGCTGCCCGCGGTGCTGAAACTGAGGACAAAACGACAGTTTTGGAAATTTACTATTGCCAAATTAGGCCAAAATAGAGGAATTTACCACAAGCTGACAGAGAACACTCGGCGGCTGCCCTGAAGTTGCCCGGGCGCGTCCGGCGTCGCTCGGCCCGGTGGGCGCCCCTCCCTCTCGGGCACAGC